CCATGTGTCTGAAAATTACATATTTAACTAACCTGTGGTATTATAATAATGTTTTTCCCTTTTATAGCTCTTTCCTTCTTTTTAGAGTGCAAGGAAGTATAACTGATTTAATCAATTATATTGCCAACATATACTGGTAACCACTTCAGAACATGGTGTATCGGATCGCCATAAACTTTTAGCTGCTGTTAAAGAACTTGATAAGTATTTGAAAGAGAATAATATTAAACGACCTGTGGATATAAAAGTCAAATCTCAAACTGTATTCATCTGATAATATCAGATGGACACAGTTTGAGATTTGAATATTATGTTATGTCATTCCTTCAATCAAAAGACATATGGATATTTGTTTCTCCTCGAGAGACAACAAGGGTTACACAATTATTAGACCAGTTAAACAAATATATTCATTATAAATGCAGAAAGGAAAAAGATAAAATGTTTACTGAGGCAAATGCGCTAAACAAAGAAGCATTTACGCTTATTTTAGCCAATATATGGGATAAATGAGCAACAAAACACTCTCTGATAAAAGCTGCAAAGCAAGTTGGTGTAACCAATGAAGCTTTGAGCATTAAATTCATGCAACAGTACAAGTCTACAAGTTTGAAAAAGCAGATAATTGTATGGAGACTCCTAAAGAGGCATTAGTTACATCCACGCAATCAATCACGACTCCTCATTCCTCTTTTGTTGTCTTGCCTGATAAAAGAAAAGAATCAGCATTGAATTGGAAAGAAAAGTTTGAAAGCATCCAATAAGAAGAGATAGTAGGTTTTATGTTCACTCTAAAAAAAAAAAGCCAAATCTATCAACCATGAAGGCTAAAGATGTTTTAATATTAGTTAAAGACATAAATGAAAAGAAAGAACAAAAAGTTTAAAAACAAGTGCAAAATGCAGAAGAAAAAAAAAAAGAAAAGAAAGGCTTTGTTAAACGTAAAGAGAAATGTATATGCATTGAAAACATTTATAGAATAAAAAGGTCGATCCAAAATGCTACAATGTCCAAAATCCAAAATGCTACAATCTTTTAAAATCTCAATGCAGCAAGTTAGCATGGCGTGTTAATTGCAAAAACCTATAATGATATTTCCTGCAGCAGCTTTGCAAAAACAGTGACAAATCAAAAAAATAGTTTATTTAATGCAAATAGTGATAGCTTATTCAATGCAGATAGTGATTCATAGAGCGATGAAGAATTTATGAATATTGCGTTTACGTATAACTAAAACATTCTTCTAAAATGTTTTGCTTAGTTTATAATTTCATGTTATAATAAACATTATTCTAGTTGTGTTATTTAACTTTTATGTTTATTTGCTAAATGAACCTAGATAACTACTAAGTTTAACTTGACTCGGTAATGTCAAACATAATACTTATAAATGGTTTAACCATTTGGTTATTATTGAAAAGGACACTTATTAAAAAAAAAAAAAAAAAAAAAAAAACTTATTACAAAGTCAACTTTGCAAACTTAGTCTGACATTTGCATATTTTATAGTATTTTTACTGTAAAATTGCTTTAAAAAACCAGAGAAAAATTTCGAAAAGACTTTTAAAAAATTACTTTAAGCTATAAAAATATCAGTTTTTTTTTAATTAGCTTGAATATTTAAATACAAAAAAAAAATTTCATTCTTATACGTAGGGAAACGTTAAATCCAATTCGTCAAAGTGCTGTTTGAACAATTTTTAAAAATTCTAGACCCGATTACGGCATTTACAATGTGATATAAATGTTATCAAATTAATTTTAATCGAAAAAATTATTAATAATTACATGATTAATAATAAATATTAAATACAAATGTTATTAAATATTATTAAAAATCTCAGAGTTCTTTTATTTTAAAGTACAACTATTTTTCCGTTGGAGATTGCATCGGTCAGTAAAATTTAGATTGCACTTTGAAGGATTGGATTTAGTGTTTTCTTCATACTAATTATTTAAATAAGCCTAGCTACAGCACAGTCGGTGTGGTTTTTGAGGTGCGCTAGTTTTTGCGATACATATACCTGTAATAAAAAACTAAAAATAGTTTTTTTGTGTTAAAATCAATATATAAATATGAATACATTGATTTGCAAGATTAAGGAGCCCTATCATTAATTTAAAAATTTAGAAATCCTTTTTTTGCTTGAAAAATGAGTGAACTATGTATATTATTTAATACATATGATTTTTATTTAAAAAATATAAAATTAAACCTTAACTATATACTCAGCATAGTTCGAAAAAGTTCGAACTCGAACACTCTCAGCGTAGTTGAGGTGAGATCCAAACGATTTGCATTTCTTAAAAAAAAATAATTTACATTTTTAAACATCAATTTTTTGTGTTTTCCGCTTACTTTCAACTACTAATAGAATTTAAGCTTTTCTTATATATAATTTATTATTTTTTTGTAAATCTTTTTTTAACAAAGCATCGAGCAAAACAAAACTACCATTAAAATATATAAAACGCGACGGGGCAGCGTCATAAAATCAGCTGACGTCATAAAAACAGCTGAAACAAATGTGTTAAATATTTACATTCCAAAACAAGTCTCTTTTACTCGAATGTAAAAAGACTCCTTGTTTACAGCATTAAAATATTCAATAAATGACTAAAAACCTCTTATTTTAGTCGAAGTTTTCACATTAGTTTTCACTCATAGCAATTTACTACAATAATCTCTTTATAGTCGCTTGAATAAATTACTAAACAAAAACGTTGCAGCATTTATATAGCTTCTGCCCCATAGTATTAAGCCAAAACTTCAAACTCGTAGATAATAAAATCACCGAAATAATTGTAAACAAAATAAAACATAGAGCTTCGCGATTTTTTTTTTTAAATAAATCGATTAAAACGTACACAAAATTAAACGGCATTTTTTAAAAACGAAACGGCCTAAATGCTATATTTTACTTCGGATCTCTCCTTAACTACGCTGAGTAGTAATAAAGGACTACAGTATGTTTATTACTGTATATAAATTATTTCCTGCAAAAAGGTGTCAAATTTTTAAAACTTAATTTTTATTTTTCCCAATTAAAAGATTTTTGCTAATTTGTAATTAGAGTCAAGTTTTACACTTTCGTCTTCAAAAAAAAACAAAATACTGCATTTAGATTTAATATAGATTTACTTATTGAATTATTTTTACATTAACATAAAAATAAGAATCTTTAAAATTAAATATTTTTTTATTCCATTTAAATAACTTAATTATAATTTACAAATATATGTAGTAAAAGATTATGCAACAGACACAAACTACTACAGAATAAATATCCATTTAAAATGAGACAAATATTTTGCTAATAAACTAAAAGAAGTATGTATGTCTGTATGTATGTATACATACATACATGCATACATACACACACATAAAGAATATCCCCGAAAGAATTTTTTACCCCTTCCTGGAAAAATAATATTAGAAGTTATTTACATATAAATTAGATATAAACTAATATAGTATAGATTGTTTTTCACTAAGTGAAACTAATGTTTCACAAACTTTCCTAGCTTAACGGCTATATACCTTTGTATGTATCTATATAAAAATATACTCACACATAAATGCATATAAATACATATTTTTCTTTTTGAAATGAAGTTAAATATTTAAAAAGAAAGTCATAGCCAAAACTGGAGACTAAACCATAAAAATTAACTAATTTATTTTTTATATTTATTAGTTAAGCTAATTTTTAATATATATCTTCAGAAAGTTTAATAAAATCGTAATTTTATAAAATTATATATATATATATATATATATATATATATATATATATATATATATATATATATATATATATATATATATATATATTATAGTATACATATTTATAGGGGAAGCGGGGCAACATGGCGAACGTTTTGAAAGCCCTGCGTAATTGCAAAACTATCAGTCGTGAAGCAATAATACTTTCTGAGTATGTTTAAGTTATTAAAATGATTCATTGCCTGCATGAATTTTCCGTTTGCAAATATAACAATTTGAAATAATTATTAAAATAAAAAGTTTATAAATTTGTCATCTGGTCAGGTGACCGGGGCAGAATGACTTATTATGCAATTTTTATCTCCAATTTTATAAAATTTTAAAAACTACCAATAACTCTAACTAAAGTAACAAAAAATAAACACAAATTGCAAAAAACTACTTTTAAAGAAATTAAACTTGAAGGACACTATCCATTATGAGAAACCGAAAAAGAGGAATTTTTTTTTAAGCGCAAAAAGTTAACTTATGCGTATAAAATTGCGTTAATAATATTTCAAAAAACCAATTGGTGTTTTAAAATACAAAAGGCAAATACAGTTTCGTTTTCATCCAATTTTAAGATTTTTTGTTGATTTGTTATATGAAAACCCATCTTGCCCCATTCGCCATGTTGCCCCGCTTTCCCCTATATATATTTTATAGTATAGCATACATACATACATATATATATATATATATATATATATATATATATATATATATATATATATATATATATATATATATATATATATATATATATATATATATATATATATATATATACATATATACATATATATATAAATATATATATTTTATAGTATAGTATACATATATATATATATATATATATATATATATATATATATATATATATATATATATATATATATATATATATATATACATATATATATAAATATACATATTTTATAGTATAGTATACATATATATATATATATATATATATATATATATATATATATATATATATATATATATATATATATATATATATATATATATATATATATATATATATATATATATATAATAGTATAGTATACATATATATATATATATATATATATATATATATATATATATATATATATATATATATATATATATATGTATGTATATATGCACATATATTAGAATATATAAAAAACCATTCATACATACTTTAAATTACATAAAAATAAATTAATGTAAGAATAAAAATAAATGAAGTTTTAAGTTGATTTATACTTTTTAGGAAAAAGTCTTTAATTGAAATAAACATGAAACTCCAATTTAACTGTTGGATCTAAGTGAAGCCATTAAACAATATCTTTTTCTTCAATTAATCGAAGTTTAAATCTCTCTTTTTCTATTTCTGAAACATTCTTTACAAAAAGTACACGATTATAAGCCTTTAGTCGCGTAAATAAATGTACATAAACTTTACACTGAACATACATAAAAACAACTCCACCGATAAAGCCGATAGCTACAACAACAAGTTTAGTCCAAAATGGCCATTTCAAATTGCCTCCCTTAACTTCTTCTGCAGTGCGATCAATAAGGACCCATAAAGACCAAACAATACATGTGACAGCCACAATATGAAAAGCAACTGAACATAATATTTTGCGACGTTCGCTATGCGATAATTCTAAACGCTTCCACTAAAAGAAATAAAGTATATAAAATAATTGTATAAATAAACTATTTAATAACATGAATTTTTTTTTTTAAGTTTAACACCCACAGTTCCTAACTTATGTATTAAACTTATTTATGTGCTTTTAAACTTAGTAAAAAATTCAGGGAGTTTCTTATTATAGTTATATTTCTAAAACTTTAGAAAAACTCTTTGACACAAAGTGAGTGGTTAAAAAAACTGTTTGACACAAAGCAATTGGTTGAAAAAACTGTTTGACACAAAGCGACTGGTTAGAAAAACTGTTTAAAAAAAGTGATTGGTTAGAAAAACTGTCTGACACAAAGCAATTGATTAAATAACATTTTGTTCAAGAAGAAAAAGGTTTTTTATTGAAAAAAAAAAAAAGATTCTTTACTAAAAGAAAACTTTGAATCTATAATTTAAAACAACTTTTATGTACGAAAACCAACCAAAATTTTAAATTTCATGAAACACCCACTAATATACAAATTAAAAAACATTTGTGGTACCTTACATTACTAAAAAATCAATTCTAGTAGTATTGATAGAAAATGCAATAAATAGTGAATTACAGTTATTTAAAATTAATTATCAGAAATCGGAAATACACAGGATAACATTGATAAAAAAAATACTCAAAATAAATAGTATAGAATATAAATTTTTAATTTACTGCCTATGGTTTAAACCTATGTGTTTAGATGGGTTTCCATAATGCCATTTTCTAATTTAAATGCAACATTATGTTAATGAAAATTTTAAGCAACTTCTCTACAACCAAGTAAAAATCAAGATACATCAAGACCAAGTAGTCTTACACATCAAGACTGAAAGTTTTTATCCAAGGTTAACAATTTTCTTGTATTTAAACAAAATTTTCCTCCTAAATAAGTTGTAACCATGATTACAAAGCCTCACCTGCCCCAAGATACGTAAGTTTAATATCGTGACAGAATAAACATTTAAATAATATAACGAACATAAATATTTTAAAATAAAGAAACCAAATTTTCAAATGTATATTGAAATTGATTGTTCATTTAATCAGCTTTATTTCATTTATTTAAAACCACAAATTGTTTGAAAATTTGAAAAAAAAGTTTGCTAGATTAACTTGCGGATGAGAATTTAAAAGGGTGTGTAATTTATTGGAATCCTTGCTAACATTATTTATACTTAATTTTTTCAGGATTTCTATAATTCCTCAATACCGTAAAACTCTTGTAACTTAAATTCCTTACATTCAAAGGATCATTTAAATCAAACAAACTCTTTGGTACTCCAGAGTTTAATATTTAAGATTGAACTCTTATGATTCAAAAACTCTCGTAATTCAAACATATTTTGAGACCCCCTCAGGATTAGAATAGCATGAGTTTAATTTATATTCCCTTATATTCCTTTGTATTTCTTATTTTGTAACTAAACATAAATAAACTTTAATTGTTGATTTTGATTGACTTATTGTTGAATTGTTGATTCTTCTCAACTAATCTGTAACCAAATCTCAATTAAACATAATAATTAGGAAAAATACATTGATTGATAAAAGATAACGTCTTTGTATAATTAATTGCTTTTTATAGGTTAACATGTGCAGATTGCACATGAGTGGTCTAAAGTTTACATGATCACACATCATATCATTAAAAAAATAGTTAATAGTTCACTATATATTTTTTTAAATATATTATCAATAATTGGACTCAAACAATAAAAAGTTAACAGACTCAAGCAGTCAACAGCAAACAGGCTAAATGAACAGTAAATAGCAGGGATGTGAAGTTAGAGTTTGGAGTTCTTACTTTTGCCTGTAGTCTCAAATGTCCATAAAGATTTAAGGACTCTAAGACTACAGTATTTTTTTTCGAAAGTTACTAAGGTACTTCAGGAAGAACAATCTTGTCACAGAGCACAGCAGAAGAGTTTACATCTTCTTGTCTACTTTTTTTCAATCTCATTTGTTTGGCCAGGTTCAGCATTGGTTTGGAACTTGTTAATATGCAGATATTTGAAAGCATTTTAAGTTTCACTTTTAAGACAAGTTTCACACAAAATGTCATCCTTCAATGCTTGTTATGATAATAAAATATTCTTTTTAAAGTCCAATAAAATAGAAATGTAATAAAATGGTTGTAAACTTTAATCTGCAGAGTTTGCTAGAGCAATTTAAAATTATTTTTTCATAAAAGTTGCCATGAATTACCATCATGCTAACCCTCAATTTGATAGCAGCAAAGTATTTTTTTAAAGAAGTCTAAATTAGTTTTTTATTATTTTTAATTATTTTATTATACTACAAGTCTTTACATTATTTCAATTTTTAGGATTTTCCTATATTATCATATCAAACATTGATTGACATTCCCTCTCTATTAATACTGCAATATGTGTTAATACTGCAAGAAATTCAAAGTGGATTGACTTATTCAGTGACCAAGCTCCATATCTAATTTCAATTTTAAATCAGGCTACTTGTTAGTTTAGTCACTTTAACAGGATTAAGATTCTAATCTTAATTGGTAAGTAATAATTTGCTGGATTAAATATATATTTTAAGTAATAATCATTAAATTATAATTTTTTATCTTATTTTTTTCCAACAACATGGGTATATTATATTGTATTATAAACCTGGTTAATTATTTTTTATTACCTTTTACATTTAGTTTTTATTATGTTTCATTTAAAAGCTGTTTTTATTATGTAGTTCAAAAATTCAACATTAAATCTTGTTTTTTAGATTCGATTAGTAAACCAAAATATAAATACACTAAAAGAAACTCTAAAAATTAAAAATCAATAAATTGTGACTCTTTTTTAGTTTATCTCGCTGACTCTGATCAGAAAATGAATAAGAGATTGGAGAGAACTCTTCTAAAGAACTAACTCAGTTCCAACTTGATAAAATTGAGCTTGAAGCAGCTCTAATAACAATTTCAGAAATTTGGTCATTGTTTAAAAACAACAATTCTAGAAATTTGGTCATTGTTTAAAAGCAACAATTCTAGAAATTCGGTCATTATTTAAAAACAACAATTCTAAAAATTTAGTCATTGTTTAAAAACAAAAATTCTAGAAATTGGGTTATTGTTTAAAAAAAACAATTCTAGAAACTGGGTCAATCTTTAAAAACAACTCCTCCAGCCTAAATGAGTTTTTAAAACTTAATCTATTAAAAGCAATTGAGCGCATCCCTGAGATTTTATGAGATGCTTGCCGAGTCACTTTGTTATTGCTCATATTTTAAGTAAGTGTTGAGCATCTGTTTTCCATTTTAAAGCACATGATCCCAGACCATCTTAGTTGCTATATATCTGGGTTTATTGATAACATGCTTTTCTTGTGGATGAATTAGTTTTTTTTATTTGAATGCAGTATGTTTTTTTGATGAAATATATATAGGATTAATTATTTATTTTAACTTTACAATATAACTTTTAATTAATGAGGCAAAAACAAATGTTTGAATCATTGCACTAAATCTTGTTAAAATGTTATGATCTTATGACTTTAAATAAAATAGTTTAGCAGTCATACATTATTTCATTACAATATTATTTATAACATAAAAAGCTTACTTTGAAACTTAATGAAACTTTTTTGCATAAAGTAGTAATAACATTTTACAGCATAAATAATGTCTTTTCAAGTTTTAAGATATTTTAAAAAGTTCCTTAAGTGACTTAAAATCTAATAAATTCAAAAAATAACATAACTTCACTTTTCATTTTGACAAAAAGCTATTGTAGGTGAATAAAATAATTATAAAACAGCAATTTAATGGAGTAAATCAACTTAATAATCTAATAACTTTTTAGCCAACGTTACTAGGAAAATATATGTGTATTTATTTTTTAGTTTTTATAGCAAAATATTAAACAAATTTTGTAAAATTTTTGTTTAGATATGCAATCAACACTTATAATTTCATAAATGAACCAAGTTTTAGAAAAGTTGTTTAGTTATATCAAAACAAGGTTTTATTGGACTAAAAAATTTAGTTAAGTATTGAGTGTTACAAAAACTGTTTTATGCATTAAAATCTAAATAATTTTTTTTATAAAGTGAAAATTTTAATATACTTTTGTCATTAAGAGACCCCAAAGGATGTACATTTTTTTTTATATTTTAAATTTTTTTATATTTAGTATAATTTTATTACATAGTGTACATTTAGGTGTGCTGAGAAATTTTTAAAATTGTTATTTTATGAACCACTTCTAATAAACTTTATGACAGCTGACAATTCCATTAAAAATTTATTAATAAATACTCTTTCACACACACAGACACACACACACACACACACACACACACACACATACACACAAACACAGACACACACACACATTAATTACAAACAAATTACATAATGGTTACCTTTCTTATCGGACTGGTTGTGGAGTCAATGTTAAAATGATACTGACATAGTTCGCAATTTTTAGCACCAGTCACTTTAATCCATTTTTGTATGCAACTTTGATGAACATAAAGTAATGAACCTGAACAAAGGCATGGAGAAATAAATGCATCATCTTTTGTTGATTCACTGTGGCATATTTTGCAAATTTCAACAGTACAAGAAGTTCCAGAGCGAGTTGATGGGCTCAAAGTATCCTCCTATTATTCATAAGTTAATTTTAAAATATTCAACAAAAATGGAATCAAAAATAATAATATAAACACCTTATGACAACCAACAATGACAAAAAATTATAGTCTGCATCATAACTATCATGATAATTATCTTAATGATGATTATAATTATTCATCACTCATAATTACCATTTCCTAAACATATAATCTTGTACATCTTTTTTACAGATTTTCATTATCATTCATTTAATCATTAATTAGTAATCATTTAATTATTAATTAGTAATCAAGTAATTTTTTTTTTTTCTCAGCCTTATTTTTTCAGAAGAAAAGAATGCTTTCCTAATTATTTTTCTTTCACATGTCTCTACCTACAATATGATTTTTATGTTAAAAAAGGGTCACAAAATACTCCTAGCATAAAAAGTATTCCTCTACTATCAATCCCTACTTGGGGTGACTTAACTTAATGTTTTTTAATGAACTTAAGTTTTTTATTTAATTCTCTAATACTCTTTTTCATTCCACATTTGATGTGCAATGAAAGCAAAGAAAATAATTGAAATAATAAATCTCAATACAATTAATAAGTATACTATTCCAATAAAGTAATAACTATTTTAATTAATTTCTGCGTTATACTCACATAAAACCTTTAGATAATTAGAATACTAATTGTTGCGAACATGTTGATAAAAGAAAAAGCACATACAAAATCAAATGTATATGATTATGGTTTAGGAGATATAAGGTTGCCAATTGTGACCTTATTGCCATAAAAAAAGTTACTATTAGAGTTATGAAATTATGAAAGCCTATAAAATAAATGTGTGTATGTGTATATATATATATATATATATATATATATATATATATATATATATATATATATATATATATATATATATATACATATACATATATAAATATATAAATATATATATATATATATATATATATATATATATATATATATATATATATATATATATATATATATATATATATATATATATATATATACATATATATATATATATTTATATATATTTATATATACACACACACTTACCTATATACGCTATAAAATAAATAAATAAATATATATATTTATTTATGTATTTTATAGCGTATATAGATAATAAACTGTTACTTATTTTTCCTACCTTAATAGCATACAACGTTTTCTGAAAAAGAAGAAAAAAAAAGAATTATGAAAGAAAAAATTGCTACCCCATGCCAAACACTCAGTCAATGTAGCAGCACTCCCTTGTGGTAGCAAGCTATTAGATTGCTGCTGTATGTACTGAAGCCCCCAGTAGCAGACTATTTCAGTGTGATGTTAGAGTGCTTATGTAAACATGCATCATAGTTATGAATGAGTGTTTACATAACATAGAAGTTGCTATTCAACTTATCATGGTGTGTTTACAACTTATCATGGTGTGTTTACAACTAATCATGGTTTGTTTACAACTTATCATGGTGTGTTTACAACTAATCATGGTGTGTTTACAACTTATCATTATATTATTCATATTCATTACATATTATTCAACTTCATCTTGGTTTGTTTATGAAGTTGCTATTCAACTTATCTTGGTTTGTTTATGAAGTTGCTATTCAACTTATCTTGGTTTAGTATCATTAAAAAGATCTCTATGTGTAGATTCTACACATACAATGTTTTACTGCATCAGGGGGTAGGGTTTAGGGCTTGATACTGCCATCAACAAAGGACAAAATCATAATAGTATGTACTACTGACTTGCAAGGAATGAAGTCATTCTTAATTAGTTGAGAAGCCTCACAACGTAAATAATGACGCTTCCAATGATTTGTGCTCTTTGACAGAACTGCAAATAATGTTGAACATCTAACTTCATTCACCATAAAAGCTAGAATCATGGTTGATGCTCGAATGCTGAGTTTGTCCTATCAAGAACTGCAGTCACCTTTGATGAAAGAACATCTTGACGTTTTATTTTCTTAGCAGTACCGCTCCTGCTTGGCGTTGTAACTACAAAGTTGTCATTGTCATTTTCCGACAAGACTTTGTTTAGCATTAATTAGTCATGCACTTGGTACGCACTGTCTGCAACAGGAAACTTCTTTACACAGTGAAAAAAAAAAATTCTGCATAAAATCTTGTCCAGCTGGAAGACATGCCCCTGTGATTGTCTGAGAAGGATGCCCTATCAAACAAATACTGTCATTGCTTTATGTTATTCTACTCTTTGGCATCTTTACTGTAAAAATCTTTCTGTAAAAAAAAAAAATAATTAAGGTTATATTAAAAAAATTTTTACATACTATAATTAAGATTAGTATATTATTGATGTGGCTCCGAGAATGAGCCACAGTATTTAAAAAATTGTTTGTTTGATAATTTATTCTTAAAACAATTTATGCTAGAAATCTCAACGAAAACTTAATTAAACTCAAATAATACAATTTTTAAGAATATTTCAACAGAAAACTCTAGAACTAATATATATATATATATGTATATATATATATATATGTATATATATATATATATATATATATATATATATATATATATATATATATATATATATATATATACATATATATATATATATATATATATATATATATATATATATATATATATATATATATATATATATATATATATATATATATATATATATATATATATATATATATATATATATATATATATCTACTATAGCATATTTATATGCGCAAGTGCTCACTTTTTTTGCTAGTCTAAATTAAGTGAGCGTTTTGAGAAAACGATGAGGGAAAATGAAGAATAATGAATGAAAAGGTTGCTGACCCATACCAAACCCTCAGTCGATGTAGCAGCACTCCACTGCAAGTCAGGCTATTTGTCAGTCGATGTATGTACTGAAGCCCCCGCAGCAGGCTATTTCAGTATGATGTCATCATGCTCACCTAACTCAGAAGTATAAGATATATATGTATATAAATATATATATATATATATATATATATATATATATATATATATATATAGATATATATTTATATGTGTGTGTATATATATATATATTTATATGTGAGCATTTGCTCACTTTTTCTGCTCACCTTAAGCTATACCATTTTATTCGAAAAAGAAGAAAAAACGAAGAATGACGAATAAAACGATTGCTTCCCCATCCCAAACTCTCAGTCGATGTAGCAGCACTTCACTGCGAGTCAGGCTATTTGTCAGTCAATGTATGTACTGAAGCCCCCAGCAGCAGGCTATTTCAGTATGACGCCAGATTGCTTACTTTTTGTACGCAATACTATTTGTATATATATATATATATATATATATATATATATATATATATATATATATATATATATATATATATATAGTATATATATATATATATATATATATATATATATATATATATATATACACACACAGCTAATTCCCGGTAAGTCGAACACTGGTTAACTCGAACTTTTGTTATCTCAAACTGTTTCATTTGGTCCCTTGAAATTGTCTAACTGATTACTATTAAAATTCTCCCGTTAAATCAAATATTGGATAACTCAAACTTTGTTAAGTTAACTATTATAGCCCCCTTTTGGCAAATTTCTTCGGATAACTCAAACTTTTTGTATGGGATATAATAAAATCAAAATAACTTGTTTAAAAATTTTTTTTAGGTCATTTTATATTAAACATAAAATACTTTAAGGAAGACATTGTATTGCATTTCTTTGCTAAACTTTTTTGAATATTATCTTTTAAGTGTACAGCATGAATACTTGCTTTTTAAACTCAAAGTTTGTCTCTGCTTTAATTCTCAAAACTAAAGCCATGGAATTTGCTCAAAGAATGAATGTTTCAAAGTTTCATGCTTCAGATGGTTGGTTAGACCTTTGGAAAGAACGATACAGCATATCATTTAAAACAGTTTCTGGTGAAGCTAATGCGGGTACAAGTGAAATGGTAGCACCATGGGAGGAAACCATGTTACCAACCATTTAATCAAAACATAAGTTGAACCAGATTAATAATGCTGACGAATTTGGCTTGTTTTATCGGCTCTAACCAAATAAATCTTTACATTTTAAAAATGAAAAATGTGTCGGTGAGAAACACAACAAACTACTTTCTACAGGATTGACATTCGTTAATACATTAGGGAAAAAATTGCAAATGTTTGTTATTGGCAAAGCTAAATTGCCCAGATGCTTTAAAAATGTAAAGCGTTTGCCCTGCCGTTATCGCAGTCAGAAGAAAAGCTGGATGGATAGCACACTATTCGAGGAATGGGTTTGTGAAATTGATCGTCAATTTACAAAGGAAGGACTAAAAATTGTTTTATTAGTTGATAACTGTCCAGCTCATCCAATCATTGATAATCTCGAATCAATAGAACTAATCTTTTTAACACTAAACACTACCTCGAAGCTCCAGCCGACGAACCAGGGTGTGATTAGGTCACTTAAAGCCCATTATAGAATACTATCTATTAAAAAATTAATAGACTCAATAGATAAGAAAAAGCCTCTTTCGGAAGTTACTATAATGGATGCTGTGCAAATGCTTGATATTGCTTGGGGGAAGGTGAAGACCGAAACTATTTGCAATTGTTTTGATAAAGTTGGAATTTCAGAGAGAATGTGTTTTAACGCTGCGGCAGATGTGGATGATCCCTTTGAGGATCTCAAAGACCAGTTAGAAAAGCTTGCTGTTCATAAATCCAAGTTCTTCCCTTAAGGAACAACAGCAAAAGATGTCATGTCCATGGATGATTTTGTCAACATTGTGGAGCTGATAATGAATAATGAGGAGATTATATCAGATGTTTTAGGAGAAAATTTTGAGGCTGTAAAGAAGATAAAGATAGTGATGTAGATTTTTTGATTGAACCAACTTGCCCTCAATTGGGTGATGTACGTCAAGCCCTGGAAGTACCACAAAGCTACATGATATTCAGCAACAATGGGGAGTGTATTCATAAATGTATAAACAAAACAAACTTAATTGCGGAAAAAGAATTATC